GGACATATATAGTGACGAGGCGTCAGGCGGGGATGAAAAAGGTCGAACGGCGTGACGCAATGTGAAAGTGCTCGTGCATGCATGGTGGCATTCAGCGAAGCCATCTGTACACGCACGGGTGTACCCCACCCAACACACACACACACATGTGTACGCAGAAACGCAAACACGTATGCGCATACACAAACACCCAAACGCACTCGCACGCGCCCACGAATGCACACATGTACGCATGCGCGCAAGCGTGTACAAACGCATACACGGGCACGAACAAACGAACGCACAAACACGTGATTGCACGAGCACCCACACGCGCGTAAGCACATACGTTATCCGTTTATCAGTTATCCGGCAGTGAGTCTACAATCAATCGATTGCCGTGACAATTGAGATACCCCCTCATTATGTTTAGCCAATGACGTTGCGAGGCAGATCTCGATTCGATTAAACTATTAAAATCGCCGATTTAATCTAAATATATGCATAAGATTTATTAATTTCGTCGAGGCGTTACTACGCAGAGTTACTGCTTCATATGAACAGCGTTTCTCATCGTCGAGTGATAATAGAAACGTAAGAAGAATTACACCACGCGTATACCCTGCTGGGAGAGCTTTGTTTAATTCTGGGAAGCTTTATATCAATTTTTGTTGAGTTCTAATCAATGTCGCGCATCTAAACAATAATACAATTATGATTGTATCGGGTTGGATCTTCCACCGTGTACGTGGCAACGTTCGCCAGCATGTGATAATAAACGGAGCGTCATGAGTCACCGATAGGGGAAAAAATCTCTTTCAATTAATAGGGTAATGCTATCCCCCGGGCGTGGAGGGAGGTGACCGCAACGTGGCAGCACTAGTGTTGGGATAGTGTTAGGATTAGGGTTAGGGTCAGGGTTAGGGTTAGGATTAGGGTTAGGGTTAGGGTTAGGGTTAGGGTTAGGGTTTTTGCATCATGATATCTGTCCCCACACCATAGATTAATTTTTGTGGATCACAATGCCTATATATAGCGCGGCGACACATATATATTTAGTGTGAGTGTTAGTGTTGGCGGTGTTGGAGTAAGTGTTACCGTTAGGTTTAACGTTTTGAACGTCATCGCCAACGTTATCACGTGACCTCCCTCCACGCCCGGGGGATAGCAACACCCCAATTAATAAGCCACTCCATTTGCCTATAGCAGCCAAGAATGACAAAGTAAGTAGTCCTCGAAACAGCATGAATAGACGAACAAAGAAAAAACGGCAAGGTGGAACAGAAGAGGAAAGAGAAGGAGAAAAGGAGATTGGAGCCAAGTATCATAGAGTATATTGTCGGCTGTACATAGACGTAGAATGCGGAACATGCTCAGGGATAGAAGATATATCGCTACTGCATGTGCTAATTTTGCTATCGCGTATACCCTATGCTCAGAAACACATCAATTTGAAATCTAAAGTAAGGGTGAACATACCCGTATCGGATATATATGGTACTCGGTTATACAAAGAGTAATTACTATCAATAGCACATAAACTATAGTTCAAACACATAGTTCATGTAGTCTGGATACTATGCCGCTAGTATATTCTATTCAATTTATGCCCGGGCACAAACACATTCGTTGATTAATGCCTTGAATACACAAAAAGATACCTACTATATATACATATAGGCAAGAGCTAATAATACCTTATTAGTTATTAAGTAGTAAGCTATCTAGTATTATTAGCTCTTGATATATAGCGATAATATGAAACGATAGCTGGATTGAAGGAAGCTACCCGTGTAACACATATAATAGGAAGAAGCTGTTTGTAGGTAGACACATGCAGTTACCATTACACTTGACGAATTGCCCCATGAACATGCTTATCGCACGCGGGCGCCACACGGGGAACGTGAAATAGAAAAGCCTCGTTATTTCACCATTTGTTTTCCACAGGGCGTCGAATGACGGCGCTAGAATGTATAAGGCGGTGATCGTGCGTTTCAAATAATTCTTCTTTTGACAGATAGGTCGGCATGCTGATGCCATAAACGCATCAACGGCTGTGACCCCAGTCGAGCGGCTACACGGTTGTAAATACACGGCTAGCAGTACATACATATTTATCCAGCCATTCCTTTGGCTATGTACACTCGTGCAAGTTTTTTTTTCATTCAACGCGTCGATCCCGAAATCCAATTTACTTCGCCAAAAGCCGCGCATCGCTGGGCTGTTGCCTTTAATTCATCATCGCCTTGGCTATACGTAAGGAGTAATTAGATTTTCTTCGCCTGATCTTCGACTCGGCCACACACCGTAATTAGATACTAATTGGCCTGCGCGGCGCTCGACCTGACGTTTAAAAGCAATTTATATGGGGCGATATACCAAACTCGAAGGACGCTCAACAATGCGAAAAAGTTAAAATCGAGAGTAGCTCTTCTCAAGAGAGAGAGAGAGAGAGAGAGAGAGAGAGAGAGAGAGAGAGAGAGAGAGAGAGAGAGAGAGAGAGAGAGAGAGAGAGAGAGAGAGAGAGAGAGAGAGAGAGAGAGAGAGAGAGAGAGAGAGAGAGAGAGAGAGAGAGACAGAGAGAGAGAACGGAGAGAGACGAGAGAAGAGAGAGAGAGAGATAAGCGGTGTGTGTGCGTTTTTCGTTGGTTTGAGTGTTTTTTGTGTGTTGGTGAATTGCGTGCGTGCGTGCGTGTGTGTGCGTGCGTGCGTGCGAGCGTGCGTGCGTGCGTGCGTGCGTGTGGCATCCAGTGAGAGTGATTGTTATCACACTCGTTGCGAAACCCTGGCTCTGGAACACACACACGAAGAAAGGATAGCGGTTTGCATTATTATTTTGTTAGCCTGCCGTAACCCAATACGCACCCCCATTCACGCTTGTGCTAAGTGCTACAGAGCCATTCTGCAGGGGCAGGTGGCGCGTAGCTCTGCCCACACTACGCCGCGCATTACGTCTCTCGACGCAGTCGCACTGCCTATTATTGTCTCCTAATAAAGCAATTTTCCAATGGCTCTTTTGGGTGGAGTACGTATAAAGGATACATAAAACACGCGGGGGACAGCCTAGTATATGCGGCAGCTCGCGCGACATCGTCATTCCCACATTCCCGTCACTGCTGTAATAAACATCACCACGTCTCATGCGCGCCCGCGCCGCTCATATATATAAATGAGATATATGAGATTGATGAGACCATATATGGTCATTATTATAGACTACAGGGTAGCTTTATAGATAGTGGGGAGCACGAGCAAAAAATATACGTGCGTATATGGAAATTGTCCAATTATTCTCCGTGCGTATATGCTAACTAAGCGTATATATATATATATATACTATATGAGGATCAATACTTAAATCTGATTTTTCCTTCTCGCTGGACAATTAAAAGCGGTGCCATGTTGAACAGAGCAGATGTGTGTAATGTAGTGAAGCTTATTAGTGGCGTGGGGGCCTATAGGCGCCGAGCTGTAGCCGCGGCAGAGAGAACATAATGGAGCCTGCGACTGTACACACGCACGAGCTCGTTAACAGTGTTGTAGAGGGCGCTACGGCTGTGCACCACGGCTTTTGAGGACATGAACCGAACCGAAATGAGCTGCCGGATATGAAATACATAAAATCTGCTATATGTATTTAACATATAAGAAAATATCGAGTAAAGAAGAGTGCGTTAACACAGTACCGGGAGCCTACGTATTTTACAGGAACTGCCTACGTTGATTTTACACGTATGAGTTACGTGTTTTGCACTGTTTGCGGTATTAACACGTTATCATGGAGTACGTGTCCTGGCATTTTTACCGACGAATTTTTACTTTATGTTGGATCATGGGGTTGAGCCCCTGCTGCATGGCTAGGTAACGCAATGTGATAGTATATATATGAGCTCTCCGTATGTCATATGTTATTAACATTGCTACTTGGCGCATGAAACGGCAGCCGCTTCCATAATTGTTCTTGACGTAATGCTATTAGTATAAAAGCTTGCGGAATCACAAGGGACAAATCTAAAATAATTACGCAATGGTTCATTTTAACACTCTGCTGTCAGGTTTGCGCATTATTCAGTTCTGGAAACGCCCGCGGGCGAGATGATATGCTGCGGAAGTTATGGGTTTTCTACAAATAGTATATAGTGTAGTTTGACAATAATTGATGTTTTTTATCTACTTAAATTGTCGTCGCTAGGCGGATGCTTTTTTCCCATACCTTCCAGCCAAAATTGAGCGAATAGCTGATTTTATGAGACAAGATCACATTTTATACGTTACATTTTAACAGGATAACTTCTCACAGACGGCAAGTATAGCAGGCTATTGTTTAATATACAAGGACATGAAACTATGGGAAATGTTCATCCTTCCAGCTTGAGTACTTTCACATGCCGTCATCGCTGCGGTTTAAAAACGCACTTGGTCGGTCACAATAAGGAAATGATAGTAAACAAACACGCATTATTTTTACTATCAAAGTCTTGATGTTTATATACTCTGCATCGCCTAATAATTCCACGTGAATGGGTTAAAATTCGCATCTACTCGCGGTTATATCCCGCTAATCGTTTTCGCATGGTGGTGTGCATGCGGTAAGATTGTCCGCTGTAGAAGTGCATTTGAACGACATTCACGTAAAATTACTAGACGGTATAGAAGAACATTAAAACATTGGCAGTAACTACAAGTCGCGTTTATTTACTATCATGATATTATTGAGACAGTCCAAGTGCCCGTGGTTAAGAGAATATCTGACAAGCTCGCGTTACCCCTCCCACGCTTAACACTATAAATCGGTTTATTGGAGGAACCGAGAGCGTATATAGTCTAGCTTAGCGATTTCGAACACCGCACCGAGCATCATCGTAAACCGACGTGTCCGACTCTGTAACTTGAATGGGTTCTCGCACACACGCCGCATATACATCGATCCCAGCATGCGACGATGCGCATGCGCAGTCGCTGTTGGCTGATCGCCGCTCGGCTGCGCACTCAGGCAGTGAGCGTAGCGAGGGCGGCCAGTCAGTTGTACGTACCCACGAGGTGAAACACACACGACAAGCGATCGCGTTCCCTGCTAAGAAGAAACAACGATCGCATCACACGCCCGAACATTCTAACGAGCATTGGATATACGTGTGCGTGTCGCCGCTTGGTATTCAACGACCTAAGCTTTGTAGTATATACATATTTAGTATATAATACATACATATATACATTGTGAGAGAAAGTCTGAAAGAGAGAGAGGAGACGTCCCATAGGAGAGGTTACGAGATGGATTGGAGGAGTACCCGCGTTGTGCTTCTGAGTGCTATGTGTTGTATGCCGCTGCTATGGAGTTGCGCCGAGGGAGGCAAGGGAGAACGACGAGGTACGCGAGCTTATTTCCTTCGTCCTGCGATACCTTTGAAGTGTAATTTCGGAATTAGCGCGGAATTTTCGAGTTCGCAATGGCGTTATATATATATTATTATTAATACACACACACACACACAACAACACACCACACACACAGACACCACACACACACACACACACACACACACACACACACACACATGTGTATTAGTATATATTATATATATTACGCACACCTGCACACATATATATTTATTTATTTATTGATATATATATGTGTGTGTGCGTGCGTGCGTGTGTGCGTGTGTGCGTGCGCGCGTGTTGGATGTTGCTTGGACACGTGACTAAATGTCATGTTATTTCATAATTAGGACGCGCGCATTAGTCTGTCAGCCGATATTTATTTTTATAAAAGCAGTTATATTTATTTGCTTTGACGTCCCCAATTATTGCGGATTTTCCCCTCGTTTTGCTGCCATATACCTACGAGTACGACAGCCAACCTGAACACCAGAGAAATGGCGTGGAGACGCCAGCAATTAAACTTACGAAGCGTGCGCTTGCTTAGCGACTACCAGCAGGGGTGCATTTGTTACGCCGAACCGAGTTTACTCCCAGAGAAAATGCACAGAGCGGTTATGAAATTAAAAACAAACAGAGCGCGTACGTTTTCAGTAAGAGCTATAGTGCGGGGTACGGTCGGCCGGTCGTTGGATCAGTGCGCTGATGCCGATCCAGTTCTACGTGCGCACACCGACTTGTAAATAAAGCCACGGTGCCCGTCTACGTGTTAATGCGTCTGTAATCGCATGTGGTACAGATGGCGGGGAAGCAGGGAGAGCAGCGTGATACGGAGTTCTCAGTCCCCCCGCGCGCGCGGCTGATGTCATAGACACGTCGACGAATATATATGTATATGCGGCAGCAGCATTAATCCTCTGCTGCCCGTATTACCCGCGCCAGCTCACATACAGGCGGTCTCCTCTTCGTTGGAAATGTGTAAATAAAACCTCCGGCCCCCGCAGTAGCGAAGGCTTTGATTTCGGTGACACGACTGCGGGCTTGATTGCGTCGGTGGAAGCCGATCGACATTCAGTTGCAGTTATTCAGTCGCCGGAGGAACCGATAAAGTAAACGGTACATGGGGTCTCACACAGCCCGTAGCCGACACCGTCAGCAAGTATAGCGGTAGTGGTGGCGTGATGCTAGACTGTGCCGCTGCTCAGTAATCGAGACAAATACTGTTAGACAAATAATTGCATTACACTGCTAGCGGCTGCCTACTGCGGTTACTGTCCTAATGCGTACTGTTCTCAGCTTCATTGTTTGCTTCCCCTCCGGTCGGTCTCGTGCCTGTGTTTGTGTTGTCAGGGAGTTATTGCGCACGCGCTGGCCGCGTTCCCAGGCTGGCTATTTCATGCTCACTCTCTACGTCGCACGCGAAGGTTTGCCGTAGCGTTCTCTCTCTCAATTTTACATAATCTGTTACTCGATTTGTAAATCGCGAAGTAGCGGTCAGCATTGCAATATCGCAGCAACGTTATCGAAGGGTGGAGCGACTTCGGAAGCGAGGGCTTACTAGCGGTGGCGGTCTCGGTGATAGCAATTTACTCGTATATTATTATTAACGTTTATTCCGAATGCGCAGTACTTGATAGTGGCGCGAGTGATGGATAGCGGCGAACGATAATTGCGGCCGAAGCAATAACACTCGCAATATAATGTGATTAATGACATAATGCAATACGTAAAATATTACGATTGTTATTAACGGACCGATGGCATCACCGCTGCACGCCACGACGCCTGTGTATAATATTATGCGTATGCGCGCACGCCACGACGAAAACACTTCCATTTGAGACGGTTTGAAAGAAAACTCACTTCACTTGTCCGCCTGAAATTTTCATTCGCGAAAGATTATTAATCAAACATTCAAATACACCCATATCAAACGGAGAGAAATCGATGTTTTTTTTACAATCGGCGCCGTGACGGGAGGTAACTAGTTGGCGAGCAGATATCGAGCTGTGTACGTAATCACGTAAGTCCGCCCCATGCGCACGCGCGTGCACACACACACACACACACACACACACACACACACACACACACACACACACACACAAACACACACGCACACACACACACACACACCCCACACACACACACACACACGCACACACGTACGAGCTCATGAAAGATGTGTACGTTTTCGCTACTTGTTAATAACACAGGGATAGACACGCGCGTGTCTTTGTCGTTACCATGTTTTAGAGGATGCGCGTATGTCAGAGAGACAGCGAGGCAGAGAGAGAACGAGAAAAAGAGAGCGCGCATGAGGACGAAAGAGAGAAGTTAAGGGGAGAGAAAGCGACAGAGAGGCAGAGAGAGGGAGAGCGCGAAATAGAAAGAAAGGGAGAAATAGCACGCGCGCGTAAGAGAGAGAGAGAGAGAGAGAGAGAG